TGCTGGGCGGGCCATAACTGCGATGGGGAACTTGAGTTCGTAGTCAAACTCTCCCAGTGGGGTAGGAAGAACGCCAGGAAACAGTGACGCGTTGGATAGCGGAGGGGAAATCAGAAACAGTCCCTGTGCTGGGTTGGAGGAGATATATGTCTGTGTGACGAGAGAAGCGAAGCCTCGCGCGAATATTACAGGTGGAAAGGCACTGCCGGAAAGGCGCAAGTTGACTTTGAGCTCTGAAACCGACAACATGTAATGTAATGTGCACCCCTCGAATAAAAAGAAACATACCTTCACTCAAGCGATCCACGATATTCTCTGAGTTGGAGCACTGTTCCGAGTCGTTCTCACCAGATGGTCCGAAATCGACTTCAATGCAAGTATGACCTTTCTCCGAGAGCATCGAGGCAAACGACTGGGGGATGCTATTGTCGACAGTTTTCGTGCAATGTTCAAGTTGAACAACGGTCACAGCAGAACAGAATGCTCACTTATTCTGCATTCCTAAATCCCAATGTGATGCTGAACATAAAACCAAAGGCGTTGGCCCTTCTCGCGGTGCATGCTTGGGTGGATTCCAGACAGTAAATGTCGACGAACGTCTGACTTGCAACGCTATGCGAGTTGCTGAACGGAGAAAATGTGGGCTATTGCTACTGCGCACAACGAACATGCCAGCAAAGACAGTCAAATAGGGGTCGCGGATATCCTAAACAGTGTGGTTATAAGCAAGAAACGCGCCTTCACTTACGCGTGAACGCGTCACGATACTGGTCCAAACACAAATCGATCTCTTCTATCACCTGTGGCCTCAACCTTATCCAACATTGTTTTTGACGACATTTTTACGACTGATGCCATCGACATGGATGGCAAAAAAATTTGATTGAGGTCCGGGCTTGTTCATGCGCATCATTTTTTGTACTCGTGATAACATGTGCTGTGTACAACCAGTATCTCGATTCTCGGTTATATTCTCGTCCAAAAAACTACTATGACATGGACTTGACGCTTGACTATAATATCGACTCGGAGCTCTTCCCTTTAGTGAATGGTATTGGTGACAGTTTTGCAATGGCTCTTGCTTCGTCACTATCATGAGATCAGATGGTGAAGATGGTGAAGACAGATATGGAGACGTACGGAGACCAGATGGTAAGGGAAGGGGAGGTTTTGAAGAAGATTATGACTTTATTATGTATGGGAAAGTGTGAGTGACTGTCTTTTCGTCATCCTCAGGTTTGACTTTACTCGTTGGCCCCGCAGGTGTATAAGTTTGATACTGGATTTTCTGACATTGTATAAGTTACTTGCATGTTTGTTGTTGACTACCTCTTGCTCTACTCCATAGCACAACCTACGCGTCATTCGGTGGACTTTTGTTATCAATCACGGGCTCATATCGTCACTTGACCAATGCCGTTCTCGGCGATCCAGTGCTTGGAAAATGATTGTTGCGGATGTTCGTACTGCGGAGCACTTTACTTCTGAAACTCCCAACTTGATACTATTCAACGCGTAACTACTGGTCATCCTAATTGAACCAACCGCGCCATGATATAGTTCGGTAGCTGAAGGAGGTGTTACGTCATGACATGTACAGTTCCTTGGACTAACCTCATGATGCATATCCTTGGGGTTGTTTTATATAAAAATAAAACGTTGTCTAGCTACGCGGTAGTCTACCTTTCACTCAGCACATCATGTCCCCTCTTTCTACGAGAGTGTTCGCCTGCGAGGGGTCGTCATCTCTTATTGAGTTCAAGCCGCAACGCGATCACCCACAGCTGCAGAGCAAGCTACCATCACTCGTCATCTTCCGGGCGCACCGCGCAGGATGATGTTCTTCGGATTGGAAAATTTGTGTTGGGTTCCTTGCTGGCGTTGGGGACAGGTTATTATGTCTTCCAGTCATGCGAACAGAGGTTGATACCAGCAAGACTGAAGGCTGGTGCTACTACTATTCATGCTATATCTAGTGAATTCGGAGAGCTCACGTCTGCGCACCTCCAGAGAAGTGGCCCAGAAGAGCTATCAAGTGGCGCAGGAGGCACAACCGACGTATTCGGGAGCTCCTCGTCCTCAACGCCCACCTACGGGTCTCCCGAGGACGTTCAAAAGGCAATCGAGGAACTACGTGATGCCCTCCCTGGAAAGAATCGCATTCAAACAAGCCCAGATTCCCTCCGAGTGCATGGCTCTTCCGACCATTCGTATCACCCGAGTTGTCCTCATTCGGTCGTAGTCATGGCACACAGTACAGGCGACGTGGTGAAAGTCGTCAATATCTCTCGCAAGTACAGGGTTCCCATCATTGCGTTAGGCGGCGCTACGAGTATAGAGGGTCATTTTACCGGTGTGAGCTTTAAGCAGCCACCTTTCATTACTTGGGTGACGCTGATGTTTATGACGATCAGTATCCTTCAGGTAGCATATGCCTTGACCTATCTGCGATGAATAGCATTTTGGAAATCAATGGTGTGACATTATGTTTCTTTTTTGTCCCAACACCGATGCTCACAGGGCTGTTTGTAGAGGCTGATGGTGATCTGCGGTGTCAACCTGGAGCGAAGTGGGAAGATATAAACAATACACTAAAAGACAGGGGTATTCCTCTATTCTTCCCTGTGCGTACGCCTTGCCATGTTCTTTGAATTCACTTTAATTTGAACAGCTTGACCCAGGTCCTGGAGCTGTAAGTCATTCTCTATCCCTTTTTTTCAAATTTGAACTATAGCTGGTTACAGACCATCGGCGGAATGATTGGTACAGGATGTTCAGGAAGTTGGCGCCTTCTTCTATTGTCATAATCCTGCATATATTAACCCTTGGATATAGCCAATGCCGTCAGATATGGAACTGCTAAAGCAGAATGGTTTCTTAATATTGTGAGTCCAATCAAATCCTCTGAAGAGTTCTTTGGAATCACCTAGTCGGTATTAGACGGTCGTCCTTCCATCTGGCAAAGTGATCAAGACCCGCCGGCGGGCGCGCAAGTCTTCCGCTGGTTTCGATACCACTAAACTTTTCATCGGTGCTGAAGGAACGCTTGGAATAGTCACAGAGGGTAAATCTGGCATTTGTATTCGGAATGACATTCTAATCCCAATACTTTCAGCTACATTGCGATTGGCTCCTAGAGTACCTACCAAGGTTGCCATGGCACAGTTCCCTGACGTCGAAAAAGCGGTCAGCGCTGTTCAGCAGATCCTTAATACTCCATACGGTCCCAACATACGTCAGTAGCAAGTTAGATCTCGTTTCATTTGCTGAATTATTCACTTTTAGAATGTGTGGAGTTGCTGGACGATCACAGTGAGTAGACCAATATCATGTCTTGGGTGTTATCTCAAGTGCTTTTAGTGATGGCGGCCATTAACACTGCTGGGGTAATTGATACTCCTTATCCGGTGCAGGATACTCTTTTCTTCAAGATTCAAGGATCCCCTGAGTCTATTCGTGACACCTCCAGTATCGTGCAAGAGATTGTACAACGTCATGGCAGCACTCGATTTGAATTCGCAGCAACAGAGGAGGAGGCAGGTGAGATGTGGGAAAATCGAAAATATGTGAGTCAACCGCGATTGTTTGACGTGATATTGTGACAATAGTTTGTTTTTAGGCTTTCTTTTCGACATTAGCGACGCATCCTGGTTCAAAGGTTTGGACAACCGATGTTTGGTTAGCCTTCCCGTTTTGTGTTTTTAATGATATGTATGACTGTGGGTTATTTTACAGCGTACCAGTTTCTCGACTTCCGCAGCTAGTCTATGAAACCAAAGAGGATCTTTCCAAGGCTGGTTTGAAATCGACTATTGTTGGGCACGTCGGTGACGGTAAGTGCATCGAAATGTATCGTTTCGTTGTGTGCCAATGAGTTATGCAGGTAACTTTCACGCACTCATTCTATTCAAAGACGAAGATGAACTACGGAGCGTCGGTGCAGCGGTTCACAGATTGGTCCATCGTGCCATCCAGATGGATGGGACATGCAAGTATTCCATGTGCCTCAGGCGTGTGGTTTTAAAACCTTTTCTCTTCAGGTACGGGCGAACACGGTGTAGGGGTGGGCAAAACAGAGTACCTCGTGGAAGAACTAGGCGAGGATACCGTGGAACTGATGAAAACCGTCAAAAACGCCATCGATCCTCTGAACTTGTTCAATCCTGGGAAGGTGCGTCATACAATTTCTGATGGCCCTTTAAAGCAGGACGGCTCTGATTGCGTTACAGTTGTATCCAGAAAATAACAAGGACAAGACACATAAATAACTTGATCTTCATGGCGTAAATTAACGGACCCTCCGAGTCTGAGGACAGCTTACTTTTTAGATTACCTTCTTATACATTCCATGTTCACGATAGCTGAAGCTCTCTTTCACGGGAGAAACAGCACGCACCTACCAGAGGGGAAGTGAATGCTATTGCTCACTGTTCTTCCTTTGCCTGTCTCATTGGGAGTGGCCAGAGGCTCTTCTGGATCAGCCAGGTGTGGTTTAAAAATGATGTGTGCGCCAAAATAGAAATCTTAGATTTAGCAAAGTAGCAGTCTTGCAGGACCTGTCAAGTTGTGCATGCCTCGGTGGGCCACTCCTGCGTGGTGTCCTGAGCTGTCTTTTATGGGGTGTTCTACTAGAGTTTTGCGTTCAGTCTTACTCGGTCGCATTGGAAGAGTCAATGACCGAAGGAGTGTCCATTGATGAGGCTTCAGCGAGGTTGACGAGGTTACATCATTTCCTAACTGTCAGACTCACTCTGACCATAGCTTGCGTGCATTCGTCTAGCCTCCGGCCCCATTGACATTGTTCGTTTGGTAGTGAATTCCGACAGTGTTGGTCAGTCCGTCGAGAATCCAGGTTGGCACGTGCGCATCTCGGGGATGAATCTGAGAACCCTCGCGATGCGTGAAGGTCATTTCATGGACAGACTATGATTCACATAAAAAGGAGATTTCGGCGCAGTGACAGGGCCTGATTAAGTTGGAGCACCTATACACCGCAAAAATCTTGTCAGCAGGTTTCGAACCAGCTCCAAGAGAAACAGATTTTGACTCTGTTGTGATAACCACTTGGCTAAGACCAGTTGGATCAAAGATGGGCCTCAGAGGAAATCATCCCAATGTGAGTCAATGGCAAGGTATGTTCCAACCTCCGAGAGGTTGTCATCAGCGGCAGGTTTTGAGAATCGAATTTTGATTCTGTTATGGTAAACACTTCGGCCTGAACACTTGCTTGAGATGAACCTACGAGGAACTATCTATGGGTGAATGTCATAGTGTGATAAGAGTTGTCAGCAGGTTTTGAATCCAAGAGAGCATATGTTTTGGTGCCAGGGCTCTGACTACTTAAGATAGACCTTGAAGGATCCATGGGTGCATGTTCAAGCTTTCGAACTCAAGCATTGTGTGGTAAAAGATTGTTGCCCAAAGAAAGTTTCGAACACCCAATTTCTGTCGTGTCAGTAGAATCACATAGCCAACGTAAAATGAAATAAAAATTAAGTTTAATTTGAGGGACAGGTACAAGCGAGTCGGGGCTGACGCCGGCGGCGTTACGATCTCATATGAATATTAATTTACTTCCGTATCTCCTGCTTATTTTAGATGGTGGTCACTCTGAGGAGATCTGACATTAAGGCTATGTTCAAGGATACTAATATCTTGACATATATGACCCCATGTACTGCTCACAATGTTCGCCCGTATGCAATGAGCATGATTACTTAGTGGAGACAAAAGCGCTAGTGGTATTATCGGCCACTGGAATTCCTACTAAACTTTATTGCTTCCCGTGATACATTTAGGTTTGACAGCGGTCTTTCAAATTTCAGGCTCTGTCAGCAGGGGGGGTGACGTGAGATATGTTTTACGGCCGCCAACATTAAACCACCTATCAAAGTACTTGCCTTCGTCAGATCCGTCCGAAAGTTCCCCACGTCACACCAATTCCGAGGATCCAGGGATGATTAAGGTGAGATGGGTCTGACTGATCATGATCTACATGTCATTTCCGTGTTTTCGTCCGCGTTCAAACGGTCCGATGTAGCACTCACGTTTCCGGTGTTAATGTAATAGCATTAAAATGCAAAAAGGAGCACTTGCTTGAAAGATCCATTGTGACTTTACATGAGGTCTGCTCGTACTACTGGTGATGGTTTGATGCGTTCAGCGACGAAGCATCAAGTCACATAACGCATCACATCGCTGTAATATGAACTCAGCTCTATGGAAGAATTTTGCCGGGGTTCATGATATTCAAAGGATCAAAGACCTGCTTGATCTTTCTCATCCAGTCAATGCTGACATCGCTCTTAGAGTAATGCAGCGCATCCCTCTTCATCGATCCAATCCCATGTTCTGCGGACACGGAGCCCTTGCGATCAGCTGAATTCAGATGCTCGTCAACAGTCACATTTATGAATTTCCGGGAGAAGCGATACGCACAGACAATTTCATAAATGAAAGGCTCTAGAGCTGCCTCAAGCTCCGGGCGGTATCCATGCTTGGCGATTACATTGAGATGCAAGTTTCCTACGAAGAAATAAGTGGTCTAGCCCTCGGTAGGTTGAAGATATGACAATACCATCACCAACGTGGCCATATCCCATGACCTTGGAAATCGCGTGGTCTCCGTAAAGCCCTTTCGAAATCATGCGCTCCCGAACAGCATCAACGACTTTCTGGAAGTCTGCAAGGGGAACAGAAACGTCATATTTGTATGGTTTGCCTTCTTTCTGAACACACTCAGTCAACCCTTCACGTAGAGCCCATATCGAGTTGAATTGAGTGGGTGACTGGGAAAGAACACCGGTGTTAATCAGCGGTTCATCAGCGGTTAGTAAGCTTTCCAGGAGATTATTGAGTTTCTGGATTATGCAAGCATTAGTTCACACGCTGACCATAAGGAAAAATGACAGCACCTCTAGATCGTGATCTTGGTTCCCACCGCTCGTTTCGACGAGTACAAAACATTGCGAGTCCCCAACTTCATCTGCGCTGAGCAACGGGCCAAGACCGTGCTGCAAACCCATGTCGTAAGCGGTGCGGTCGATGTACTCGAAAGCAGACATGATTTCTCCAAGTTGGCGTTTCACAATTTGGAAGAGTGGCAAAACATTGTCAAAGTGTGGTAATGCCAAAAATATATTATTGGTGGCCTGGGGTGCAGGTGGTGTGAGGATGGAGACACCGGTAACGATACCGAGCGTGCCCTCTCCGCCAATGAAGAGTTGCTTGAGGTCGTAACCTATCAAAAATTAGGCAGGGAGCTTAAATCCTGGGTGAAACTTTAAAATTACCAGTGTTATCCTTTCGCAGGGTTGATAGCTGGTCCAGGATTGTACCGTCTGGTAGAACTACTTCCAATCCGAGGACAGTGCCATGTAAGGAACCGTAACGTAGGAGTCGGAGACCACCCGCATTGGTAGAGATATTACCACCGATTTGACAACTTGAAAAGGGTCCGTTAAATTTATTTTGCTAGATATGTAGTGGAGCTCTACACACCTTCCCTTTGCACCGAGATCAAGGGGCATGATGTGATTGTGAGGGGCAATATATTCACTCAAGGATTGGAGAATGCACCCAGCGTCGGCGACAAGAATACCTGAAATGGAATATAGGGTCACATTGTAATAAGGCACAGGCTAAGTACCGGAGACAGGGTCGAAAGACCGAACATTGTTCATTGCGCCCAAGCTAAGGACAATTTCTTTCTCTAAGGAGATACCACCACCGACCAGGCCAGTATTACCGCCTTGGGGGACAATTCCAATTTTACGCTGAGCACAATACTTGACGATTTCGCTGACTTGTTGTGTTGTGCGGGGTCGAAGTACGGAGTTGGCTTGACCATGGTATTTTCCCATCCAATCAACGTTGTAGGGTGCAATATCATCTGCGGGGGTGGAGATTGATGGCAAAGTTGATAGTATAGACGTGGGTGCCAGGATACTAGAGAAGTGTGCGAGATCCTCTTCGTTGACAGAGTTCAGGTGAGAAAATGAAGGGATATTATGAACCCATCTATGAGAGCGAAACGCTGGACGAATAGAATTGCGCAGACGAAGCATGGCGCAGATCACTGAACAGATTTGATAGTTACTCTCTGCGACAACGAACGTGGTTAGGAATGAGCAATAACGAACTGGGATGACCGTCGTCCGCCGTCGGATGACCAGGTCCAAAGTAAAAATACCTGGTATACTTAAAGTGGGTCATTCACACTGACGTGGCGTGGGATAAATCAGTCTCGGCCATTTGTCAAGGTACTAAGTAACTAGTCACGGGTAAACGGGCTCTCTCTTCTTTTACTTATAGTCTCACCTTGCTGGCAGAAAGGGAATCGCGCTCTGTCGCCCTTTCCTTCATCATGGACGAAGCTCATGGTCTTGTATTAGACCAGTGCAGCGATGCTCCAGTGCTCATTCCCGACGATGGGCAAGATGATATCGTGAACTTGGATCCAAGTCCTCAGGATCTGACAATCACCGCCATAAAAGTTGTCGACACTACTACTATTACTACTGCTACCACTACTAGTACTGCACCGGTCATTCAACCTGCGACGGACACAGGTTATCTTCCCACGAATACTCAACAGTCCTCTGATAATGCAAGCATGCACAACTTGCCCGTCATACCCGTTTCTTCCGTTCAAACATCCAATGCTATGTCTACAAATCCGTTGTCAGAATCAAGTAGTAGGCTGACTGAAAGATCTACTTCAATCCGAAACAACCGCAGGTCTGTCATGGATGTGAGTTATAATAATCACTTCCACCTCTGCTCTTTGAACCGAATGACTTTCTATCAGGCACGTCCCTCCAATCGCCTCTCTGGATTTTGGTCAAATTTAATACATCGGAGGGATACAATTACCCCATCTTCCTCCCGAACGTCTGCTCGAGATGATGGGCCGCAGCCAACCGATCCGGTTCAGTCCGAATCTAGGTCCAGGTCTCCATCTCCTACACCTGCTAGACCTCTTACGCCTCCACCTCCACTCGCTCCTCCAACTTTGAAAGAGCTTGGTCTCTCCCTATCAGTCGTCACAGAAGATTTATCACCTTCGCACTTTACTACCCCTCCCTCCAGTGGAACTTTTATGGCACCCCACTACCTTCTACTCTGTCATGCCCAAGGGCTTGATGTCCTTCCTCTCATATCTCCTCCAGCTGCTCATCCTTACGCACTGGTGCGTAGGGTCAGCTTTAAGAGCGTGGTGGTCATGGAACATCGCGGTGTATTAGTAGCCATAGCAGGCAGACGAGATGGTGTTCGTGTGTATGCGTTGGAGGAAGTCAAAAAAGCCATAGAGTGGCGTATGGAGGTTGAGACTCGGCGAGAACGTGAACGATCCAGGAGGGAGGAGTCAAAGAGGGTGGGATCGGGCAACCCCAGTGTAGATTCAACCGAGACGAAATTCAGGTCATTAACACGCTCGGGTCAGGTCCCCAAGACGGAAAAGATTCATAGGAAGTCATCATTTCCGACAGCCGTAACACAGAAATTGCCCAGGTCACCTACACTTCAACCTGTAGCGCCCCGTCTGCTAGATCAACCCCCACCTTATTCTGCAGTAACCGAGACTACTCGACCCCGTTTACAGGCGCAGGCATCCACCATTTCGATAAACCTCTCAAGGTCCCGCCGTTCATCCCTTTCTCATGTAATCGTTCCCCCCGTTCCCTCCTTACCTCATATAGGTTCCAGTACGGAGCAGGAAGACCCAATGGCCAAGACTGTAAACTGGCTTGAGGCGAGTGACGATGAGGCCATCGACATGCTAACCGCAGGTGCAAGCGGTAGTCAAGCTTTGGATGAACGCACTAGCGCTATCCCCCCACCCCGAACCAGTGATACCGTAGAAGGGGGTTCTACGTCACTTCCTGTGCGCAGTTCAGCCACATATAGTCGAAGAAATCGTCCCGCGAACTTAGATCTGACTTTGGCGCAACCAAACACGATGCTAGCTCAACCGCCAGAACCATCTCCAACCCTGCGGACCATTCGTCAAGCATTGCAGAGTTCGCCACCCAATATTCGTACAACACCTCCAACACCGGCTTCCGCTGATGGGCCA